TAAAGATTTTATTTATTTATTTGAGAGAGAGAATGAGACAGAGAGCATGAGAGGGGGGAGGGTCAGAGAGAGAGGCAGACTCCCTGCTGAGCAGGGAGCCCGACGTGGGACTCGATCCAGGGACTCCAGGATCATGACCTGAGCCGAAGGCAGTCGCTCAACCAACTGAGCCACCCAGGCGCCCTAGCACCCTTTTCTTGAATGTGAGTTTCCAGGGGATCTTCTTGCTTGCACCAGCATCTTATTTCATTTCAACCATGCTGTGTGTCAGGGAGCCTGCAGTAAACAAATCTCAGCTCATCGTTTGTTATGGATGGAACTGTACACCCCCAAAATTCATATGCTGAAGCCCAAACCTCCAATGTGACTAGAATTGGAGAATAGCCTTTGTGTCTGCAGGTCTGACTGAAGTCCTTCTGTGGTGGCCCAAAGCGGATAGACTTCAAGGGTGCCCAAGACCATCCAGGAGAGATCTGGATCCAGGGCAGGATAGAAAAAAATCACCCCCTTCCTTCTCCTCAGCAGAGTTTCTCAAGAAGCACATATTCAAATATATAGTGTCCTATATTTCAAAATGTCTTGTGATTTTGTAATATTCTCTCTCTCTCTCTCTCTTTTTTAACTAGGAAATACTCTAGCTTCCACAAAGAGATAGCACTGTTAACAGTTATCTTTAGGTCACAGACCCCTGTGAAAATCTGATTAAGGCTGTCACTCACTTTCACGGGGAAAGGAAATGTGCTGTCCTTCCACACTCTTTATATACTCTTAGAGGAATTAGTGGCTCTTGAAGATTATTTGGGACCCCTGTCTTAAGTGATGTTAATATTTCCCTATTATTCACTGCCATGTGAAAGGGAACTCCCCAACAAGAGAAAACGAGTTACTTGAAAGAACATTTTTTGTAAGTCTGAAGCTTTTGGCTATTATCTTGTCATTTGCATTCTTCGTTAATATTCTTTCTTAAACCCAAAGCATTGAATCAGCTTTTGACAGTTACAACTTTTATTTTTTTTTTAATATTTTACTTATTTATTTGACAGAGAGAGACACAGCAAGAGAGGGAACACAAGCAGGGGGAATGGGAGAGGGAGAAGCAGACTCCTCGCTGAGCAGGGAGCCGTATACAGGACTCCATCCCAGGACCCTGGGATCATGACCTGAGCTGAAGGCAGACGCTTAACCGACTGAGCCACCCAGGCGCCCCTAGACAGTTCCAGCTTTTATTGCTTTGCTGTTTATTTAGTAAGCACATAAACTTGAGATCTGCTCTGCTATCCCTTTAATTCTGAAAGGTCTGAGTCACAGAACCCACCTACTGAAATCTTTTTCAGAAGTGGTACGTGAAACTGAGATGAGTGTGGATGATGATGATGATGATATCAATAGTTCAAAAGTAATTAATGACATCTTCAGTGATGTCCTGGTGGAAGGTGAGCTAGATGTGGAAAAGAGCGAAGAGGAGATGGACCATGAAGAACAGGAAGATGCACTGAATATCTCCTCAATGTCTTTACTTGCTCCATTAGCACAGACAGTTGGTGTGGTAAGTCCAGAGGTAAGGAAAGACTAAATGTTATCAGGCCTGGGACACATACAGTTATAATGGGATCCCCTTTTGTTTTAGTTGGTACATGGGAATTTGGCCCTCTGTAGCCAGGGGAGTTCTGGAACTCTGATGTCAGTTCTCTTAAAAGAGAGCTTAAAATGCTTCAGTGGTTTCCTGTGACCTTAGATAAAATCCAGACTGTGACATGGTTTAAAAGGCCAGACATGTGGGCTCAAATTCTGGCTCTGCCATTGTCTGTTTATGGCCCAAGTTGTTTAACCTCTTTACCACAGTTCCCTCACCTGTTAAACAAGGTTAAAACTAGTGCGGGTTGATGTGAATATTACATCATTAGTATATTAGTATTTAGCACCAGACAGAGAACTAACATTTATTGACAGCCGACTATTATTATTAGCTATCACCCTAAATTGAATAACTGTAGCTCAGGAAATTAATTCAATTAGAAATATATATATATTTTAAGATTTTATTTATTTATTTGACAGAGAGAGACACAGCGAGAGAGGGAACACAAGCAGGGGGAGTGGGAGAGGGAGAAGCAGACTTCCTGCAAAGCAGGGAGCCCGATGTGGGGCTCGATCCCAGGGCCCTGGAATCATGACCTGAGCCAAAGGCAGACGCTTAATGACTCAGCCACCCAGGCGCCCCAATTAGAAATATTTTTTAAGAGAGTTGCAAATGTAGGTTTTAGCAGTCTTTGAACTTTTATTCATTTACTATTTAGGAACTTATTTTAGTTGGCTTTGTTTTTATGATGAATCAGTTGACTTATTGGATGTTTATTCCTAACAATAGAGAATTTATTCCTTCCCTCAGAATTATCATTTAGAATCCATGTCATCCATAAAATCTACTAATACCTGATGTGCTCCACTGCAGAGTTTAGTTTCCTCACCTAGATTGGAATTGGAAGACACCAGTGTAAGTGATGAAAGTCCAAAGCCGGGAAAATTCCAAAGAACCCGTGTCCCTCGAGCTGAGTCAGGTGATGGCATTGGTTCTGAAGATCGTGATCTTCTTTATAGGTAAGAATGTTTCAGAAGGCATTCACTCACTAAGGGTCATGGTTTAGATATAGCAAGTTGTGTTACAATTTATAATTATGTTATTAATTCACCTATAAAACTTTGGAATAACTTTTGTCAGCCTCTCTTTTACCAAATGGCATTTTTCATTCCACATGTTCAATAAAAGAGAGCTCTCAATGTGTTGCTGGATTTCTAATAGAGTATACCTTGTTTCCTGAAGCATTGATGCATACAGATCTCAAAGATTCAAGGAAACAGAACGTCCTTCAATAAAGCAGGTGATTGTTCGGAAGGAAGATGTTACTTCAAAGTTAGATGAGAAAAAGAATGCCTTTCCTGGTCAAGTTAATATCAAACAGAAAATGCAGGTATGTACTTCTGTGGAAAGGAGATTTGGAATGTTTTCTGTACATTCCTTAAGGACAAGGGCCCAGCCTTATTCATCTCTATATCCCGACTGATTAGAGCATTGTCTGACACACTCAGTAAATTGCTCTTGAATTCAGTGTAACTTGAGAAAGGAAGGTCTCCTTTGTTGGAAACGCTGGAAGCTTGTTTGATATTTCTGAAATATTTAAACATGTTTGTCATAAATATCCTTAAAGTATAAGTTGGATGGTGGTGAAGTGTGAAATTTGTTTTGCCCTTACAGGTTCTTTTATGCTAAGGAAGGCATTTTTAAAAGTATAACATACATGTAATTTAAATAAAATGAATCAGATAATTTCTAAATCTTTACTACTTTGTTGAACATAGCCCCAATTATAATTTTAATAGATATGAGTAGAAAGTCTTTTCATAAGAAAGAATGTTTACAATGTAATTATAGCAGCATGTTGAATGTTTTTGGTGCATAGTATATACACTTGAACTGTGAAACAGTAACATTTTGACTTTACTCTGGATATTTTGGAAATTATCCAACAGGCTTAATAAGAACTGAAGTTTAAATAAAGTAAAAATGGGGCGCCTGGGTGGCTCAGTCGTTAAGCGTCTGCCTTCGGCTCAGGTCATGATCCCAGGGTCCTGGGATCAAGGCCCCTATTGGGCTCCCTGCTCGGCGGGTAGCCTGCTTCTCCCTCTCCCTCTGCCCCTGCTTATGTTCCTGCTCGTGCTATCTCTATCTCTGTCAAATAAGTAAATAAAATCTTTTAAAAAAAAATAAAGTAAAAATGGCGATAAAGATTTTAGTTTTTTCCTCCTTTCGTTGGTTTCCCTAGGAACTCAATAATGAAATAAATTTGCAGCAGACAGTAATCTATCAAGCTAGCCAGGCTCTTAACTGTTGTGTTGATGAAGATCACGGAAAAGGGTCACTAGAAGAAGCTGAAGCGGAAAGACTTCTCCTCATTGCAAGTACGTGTGATACACTTGAAACAATTTGAAACAATTCCAACAGAATTTCAAACCAGGAAAAGACTCTTTTGTCTAGGATAGTTAGAAATCTCTATTTTAAAGAAAGGGCTTTTTCTGTTTCAGTTGATCTATGTTTTTGTTTCTTACAACATTTGTGAATACTCTGCACATAAAATAAACTGTAGTTTGCAGAAAAGGTGAAAGGAATTGGAATGCATTTGAAGAAATGTAGTTGTGAAGAGTATGCCAAAAATGAATATATGAATATATTTACATATGTGTGTGTGTATTCATATACACACACTGTCTCTACACCTAGCTATCCACATGTAGCTAAAAAAGTATGTGAGTTTTGTTGTGTATGTGTAGTGATGGATGACAGGGCATGTTAGCGTGCAGAAATTATGCCACGCAAGAAAACTGGCAAAAAGTTCAAGCATTAAATTATCAAGATGTTTTAAACAGATGAGCGGTCAAGGTTTTACCCAACAACCTACCACCTGCTTGTCTTTGATCTTAAGTACCTTTGCCACATCAGTGCGTTTTCTTGAATTGGTCTCCTGTAGAAACATTTGCAATTTTTCATATTTGTGATATTGCATATTTTTACATAGCTGAGAAGAGAACACTTTTGATTGAGGAGTTGAATAAATTGAAGAGTGAAGGGCCTCAGAGGAAGAATAAGACTGGTCCCATTGCCCCAAGTGAATTTGTCCCATCCAAAGGATCAGTTACTTTGTCAGAAATCCGCTTGCCTCTAAAAGCAGATTTTGTCTGCGGTACAGTTCAGAAACCAGGTATGGTGATTTTTATTTGCATCACTTCTAGATCCTATGTTAAATTATGAGCCTTACCTAGATAGGAATTATGCAAATGGGAGCAAGTAGAGCATGCAAAACGACGCACAGCTTGTATTTGGGCCTTTAGTTCCTCTAATGAAGATATATAAGTAAAAATAACCAAGGGAAAATTTCATATATGGGGTTGCTGATCCACATGGGAACAGACATGGCTCTAACTGAAAGGAAGGCAAGTTAAACATAGATTTTTGTTTGTTTTTTTTTTTAAGATTTTGTTTGAGAAAGAACGAGAGAGAACACAAGCAGGGGGAGGGGCAGAGGCAGAGGGAGAAGCAGGCTGCGGGGCTCTATCCCAGGACCCCAAGATCATGATCTGAACCGCAGGCAGACGCTTAACCAACTGAGCCACCCAGGTGCCTCTAAACATAGTTTTGAGCATAAAATATTTTCCTAAGATGAGATATCTTGATACAGCAGATCATTCAACTTTCATTATTTAATTTTACTGTGGAAAGTATTGGGACACTGAGGAGAATCTACTTTACTTACTCTATTCTATTTAAAATTCATCCCAAAAATCTTGAATTATTGGTTGTAGAGGTGAAGATGACCACCCAGTGAAGATGATTCTATTGAAATTATTATTGCCTTTGTCACTCTAGATTGAAAAAGTAAACTTTTCTAAACATGTATTCTATGATAAATCATAGCAAAGTGGGCAAAGGAGAATATGGCACCAGGATCTGAAAACAGGGCAGGGTAATTATAGCAAGCTTAATAAAATCAGAGTTTCATTAAATTTTCATGAAGTTCTTTTAAGATTCCTTTATGTTTTCATTTGCATGGGCCGTTCTCTTTGAGGAGAAGGAGAGTTAAACATAGGTGAGAAGTGAATTTAAGGTACAGGGAAAATAAAGAATGGAGATGTTTAAAAGTTGGAGCATTCCTGTAGGAACAAGGTAATGTAGGTTCTGATTGTTGCTGTTTTCTAATTTTGGTGTGGTCTGGAAGAAATCTATCGGTAATAATAGTATGTACCTTGAGACGTGGGTATTTACTAACAGACAGTGAAGAAACAGTATGTTTTTATTAGAATTTATCTCCGAGTAACTTTCACAGAAATACAGTATTTTAATCTCAGTTTTGAAATAATAAACCATAGTTTCCCTTTTTGGGGAATATACTGTTAGCTAAAGGATTAGGGATCAATAGGTAAAATTTGAAATCAGAAATGGAAGGATATGGAGTGACATTATTTCAGTTCACAATCAATAATAGGAAGAGACCTTGATGAAACTTATTGATGATGATTATGACTATCTGCTTATGTGTCTAACCTAGCTTTTTGTATCTGGAAAGTTGATTTTAGTAATTTTTAGATAAATTACATAAATTCATCGCAGTATTACTTTTTCCTTTGGTCTTCCAAAATGCTGATTAGCCAAATCTGATTTTGCTTGTGCTTATTATGTAATGTGATTACTTTTTGCAGATGCAGCAAATCACTATTTCTTAATTATACTGAAAGCAGGAGCTGAAAATATGGTAGCCACACCATTAGCATGTACTTCAAATTCTCTTAATGGTGATGCTCTGACATTCACTACTACATTTACTCTGTAAGTAAATTAGGCTTTTGACAGTTTAAACATATTTTTCTTTTAATAGAGAATACAGATGGAATGTATAGTCTTTGAAATGCAGTAGCTATATTCTTATATGGACAAATAACTCCGTTTCAGTTTGTTGATTTCAATCTTTTGTATGTTTCTGATATTTCTTTCCCGTTGAGTAGCACATTTCTTCCATGTGACTACAGGTATTTAATGTGTTGATATATACATAAAATATAAATATACATTACATATATAAAAATGACTAAGGTCCAGATTATATATTATATAAATAAATTATAAAAATGAGTAAGGTCCAGATTATATATTATATAAATAAACACAAATAAAAATATATATAAAATCTGGGCCTTAATTTTATGTGTGTGTGTATATATATATATATATATATGTTTTAAATCTTAAATGTACTTACTATTCTAACTCATTGAAAAGATGTATTTAGTGTCACAAATATATTGTGAAAATACAGAATCAAAATCTAGTTAGAAAAAAAGTACTTATTAAAGATCTTGAGTTGTAAGATACTGAAGAAAAGATTTGACTTGTATCATAGGAAAAACAGATTGTTCTTACCAATTTTTATATTCTTTAATAGTTTGTAACAACTGCCTGTAGTTAAAAAACACCGTGAATTCCTTTACTGCAGAATAATAACACTGTTAGTGGCATAACTTTTAATGGCATTAAGTCGATGTTTTCCTTACTGTTTTATTTAATGATTTATTTTTCCAGGCAAGATGTGTCCAATGACTTTGAAATAAATATTGAAGTTTACAGCTTGGTAAGCAGTGAAAGCTTTCCAAAATAACTAGTATTATGTTTTTCTTAGAGATACTAGATCTTAAACTAATTATGTTTTGGGTTTGTGTGTAGGTACAAAAGAAAGATCTCTCAGGCCCTGATAAGAAGAAAAAGGCATATAAGTCCAAGGTGAGAATGAAAAACCCAGTAAGAGTATTATTATCAAACAATAGATATGTCAGTTTTAATTGCTCTACATTTATTTGACAACCAGCTTTTATAGCCCACTGAAATGTCTCTCAAGCCTTTCTTCTGCACTCTTGCCTGCCACGTCCTCGGTTAACCAGCACTTAGGACTGATGTGCAGGCTAAAGCAGTAGTATCTGCATGTTGGTTTCCAGTTTTCCCAGTCTTTGCTCTGTTGTGCTTTTCCTAAGTCATCATCTAGCAGGATTTTATTTTAGTTCTAATAAAAACGGGAATGACAGTATAGGGAAAACCTTAAGAGAGGACTCAAGTATAATGTATTCCTATTTCAGGATTATTTTCTATGTGGGAGTATCTCAGGGTTGGTTAGTTTTAAGCTCTGAATCGTAATGTTTAGCAGGAAGGACACTGTTATCTTTTCTTCTAGGCAATTACTCCAAAGCGACTTCTCACATCTATAACCACAGTAAGTAAATTCTTAAAAAAAATTTAGCTCCCTTGAGAAATCTGCATCTTACACACAGGATTATAAATTGGTTAGCCATTTTTAAACCCTTAGCACTGTAGAAATCTTTATACTACTGGGGAGAAAATCTCTGATTTTCAAGTAGGGAAAAATACTGAAATCTTTGCAGTTTTAAAGAGTTTAATATTTAAATCTTTGTATCGAATAAACGAAATAACTTATGCTTCTTTATACCATTTTTTTTTTTTTTTAGAAAAGCAGCCTTCATTCTTCAGGTGAGTGAATCTTGAACTATTTCGAACAACAGAATAAGGAACAAGCACAAGCTAAGCAACGGCACACATACGTTGTACACACAGGCATCTTGATGAGTGTTCACCTTAGTCTCCTTTGAATAATATTTTCTGTGTGGCTTTTAGGAACATGTAAGATTATTGGGCAGAATGGCATGCTATCAGATGTCGCCGTAGGCCGCTCGGCCTCACGTCATTCAGGCTCTAGCAGGCAGTACCCGTGGGACACCCCATTACCCGGCCACAGCTGCAGCCCGTGGCTTTACTCTTCATCCCGGCTTCTGGCGTTCTGTGCTTTCCACACTGTGGACTGGACTTCTTTTTAACTTTACTGATCATGACTGGCATTGTATCGTGTCAGAGAAGCATCCTTCTAGTTCACTGGGAACCTGGATGCCAGGAATCTGGGAAAGGCATTCTCTAGAGTGGCTTTAGGCCTGAGTTTTCCAAAGGGGATTAGGATGGAGCTGGTTTCACTCACCTCCTTTGGGCCTCTGGTCTCTCTTCTTGGCACAAGAAGGTAACTAAGAAGAACTTTGCAGAGACAGTCTCTACTGCTAATTATGTCATCCTAGACTAGAGCAATGAAGACTTTTCACATCTCTTTTAGGAAAATCGCTTTATGTATACATTTTTAAGTTCTGTGTCTTAAAAATACAAAATCCCAAAGGAGTGATAAGAAATGTCTATGCTACTTCACCTAAGTTAAATATAAGGTACTCAACAGTTTTCTTTCATCCTTTCGAGATGGAGGAAAATGAGGCAGTTTTCTCTGTGACAGCTTAATTTCTTTCTATTGGGCTGTGGTGAAGAGTTGTTACTTATACTCACAGAAGTCACTCTGAACTAACCTTCATTTCCTTTCTCTACAGTCATGGCCAGTCCAGGTGGTCTCAATGCTGTGCGCACCAGCAACTTTGCCCTGGTTGGATCATACACGCTGTCATTATCTTCAGTAGGAAACAATAAATTTGCTCTGGACAAGGTAATCCAAATTTATGTATTTATTTACTTGTAGAAAAATTAGGTCAATGGAAATGCCCCAGGACTTTCAAGTTTTTGAAATCTTTGGCTGAAAATGTATGTTCTTAGAATTGTACATTTTAACTAGGCATGGGTGTCCCTACATTTTTGATGTTGGAAGTATTTCTCTCTCTGTCTCTTAATAGTTAAATCTTCAAAGCAGTGTATACTGATTTATTCTAAACGTTACTTCTGACTACAGGAGTATTACTTCTTGCATGTAGATGTTAAGCTTACAGTTTTAAACATGGCAGCTTGCCCATTTGAACCGATATTTTGAAATGAATACTATTTTATAGATTTAGTTTTGACAAGATAGGGAAGGATAGGTTACTTTCTTAGAAAGTACTCATGAATCGAAGGGATTTCTTTTCCATACTTTCCTCCCCAAGTTAAAAGCTTCAAAGTTCAGATCTGTGTTCTGTCCCTGTTGAGTGCTTTTTCACCATAATGTGATATGACTAAACTTTTAATAGCCAACAAGACCATTTAAAGAGTGAGAGAACTAGTGGCAAACTTTGGTCCTTGGGCTAACTCCTGTGGTATAATACAGGGATATTTTTAAGTATTTTAAGAGATTTTCCTAGTCAGAATATGGAGGTGAGGAAGTACAAACATTTGGAGGCCTAGTTTCTAGTATTGACCCTGCTAGTAATTTCCTTTTTAAAATTGAGCAAAGTCACTTCATTTCTCAGGGATCTTGTTTTCCCAGTAGAGAATATTAGGTTAGATTAAAACAATCTACCTTGAAATTTCTATGAAACATTTTTCTTTTAGTTAATAGACAAAAACAGATTACCTTTGAAATTTTGATTATTGTTAATGCATAAATGTGTTTTATCTTAACATGTTAATTTAAAAAAATGTCTATAACTTTTTATTTAGTAATTTAGCTAGTTTAACAAATTGAGTGATCTTGAGTCTTTTTTTCTTTTTGTCTTTTATTTTGTTTGTTTTAGATAAATTATGATGTAAAAGAGCGAGAGCTACTGGGCTATATGTTCCGGGAAAAGGTTGCCATATTTTCTTTGCTTGAAACTAATGAGCTTAAAAAATCAATCTTGAAGTTTTGGCTCATATGTATTCATTTTACTAACCACTCTTATGTGTTCTTGGTTATTTTAAATAATTAAGGACATGATGTACATTATTCTTTCTTTAGATTCTTGCAGGTGGGCATCTTTTTTTTTTATTCTCATAGTTCTTTAAAGCTTTTTTTTTGTCCTCTTTTTTTCATGCATGTTTGGTACTTGGGCTTTTCTTCTATATTCTTTTTTCATGTTACAATTCTTTAAGATTCACTTCGACTTTGATTTCCTGGGTACTAAAACACCAAATTAATAACTAACACTAAAATGTATTCAATTGTCTAAAACTAAAATTTTTGTATTCAATATTGTTGACCTCCTCTATATTGAAAGAGCTACTGGTGATGTTTCAGATAAAACTGGTCTCAGTTGGCTAATAGGTATATTGCCATGTAGATGATGCTTTGTTTAGTGATTTTGAAATTAAAATGCATTTAACACTAAAATTATACTAAATATAATCATATGTTGTAGAAGGTTTTTGTTTTTAGGATTTTTAATATCCTTGCAAAGATCAGTTACAAGCATTCTGTGGGTATATAGAAATTTACAAAATGCCAATTTCTGCATGTAAGAGATTTTGTTAATCTTTAAAATGAAAGAGGTTTCAATGATGTATGTTAAGTATAGACTGGTCTTGAAAAATTGTTTGGGTGCCATTTTAATTCAAAATATCACACTTACAAATTTAAAAAAGTCTGGTATTTCCATTCTCTTAATTTCTTTGAAATTATAACTTAAAAAGCCAACCACATGATTTAGTACAAAATCAAATCACTCAATTTAATTGGTTCTGTCTAATACTCTGAAGTGTCTTTCTGAATCAAATACAATATAATCAGATATAAAATTTGTCCCAAATGTGTTTTTGTGAGTGGCAGGAGGAAGCAAATATTTATTCTAATAGTTTATAGTTGATGTAGGAGAATATCTAAAATAGTTAAGTTCAGTGTTCAAGTTGGTGAGAAAAATGGAAGACCTTCTATACTCATATAATAACCCTACTTAATTGACTTTGAGAGAATAGACAAGTCACCCATATCCTACCAGATACCAGTGATATAAGGGAGTGTTTGCTTATTTTATTGGTGCTGTGACCAACAATACAACAGTCACAAAGGTTATCTCTGAGATCACCTTCAGAATGGAATTTCTATTGAAGTTTACCCAGACTGTTTGCTCTATGGATTTAGGATACCACTGATAGCGATTGCCTTCCTATTTGAGGTTAAATCTGGCATCCTGCAATTTAAATTATGAATCTCAATGAGTCACAGGCTCTCAAATCCTTTCTTTGAATAAAGAATCCAAAATAGTCATAGATTTTATTACACTTTCATGGATAAAGGGAGAAGGACATCTCACAGCCCATCTTTTGACGTAAAGAAACCTCATAGGTATTTATGCCCTACTGAAAATAGAGATGTCATTTTAAATAGTAATAGGGCAAACAGTTGTGAAGTAAAACAACCAGTTAGCATTGTCGAATTTCAAGGTTATAGGAAGAGTGATTAGGTGTTCTCCTGTGTGCAAAAACTATTCTGGTGTACGCCCATTGGCCCAGTATACTTATTAACAGTACCCCTCTCTCTCAGAAATATCCCACTGTATGAAAAATTACAGCCATGCTGGTTATAAGTTACATTTTATAGCTCTTAACAATAATCTTAGAAGTGTGAATATCTTCAAAGACCCTTTTGTTAAACATAAAACAGAATAGGATCATACATTTTCACATGTTTCTACACTCAGCAGGGGGGTAGTGATATTGACCGTTTTGTGAATATTCCCAATTCACCTCATCAGGACAAGCTTCTGCCCAAGAATATTGTGAGCTTTTCACAGCTGTAGAGTAAAAGTGGACATTTTCTTCTAGTTTTTATGAGATTCTTTTTACCAGCAGCATTCTTTGGGTTCAGTGTGGAAATCTATTAATTAGCATTGAGAGCCTGAGGAACTTAAAACCTGACCACATGGAAAAGGAAAGAACGAGGGAATTTGTAAGAAGAAGGATAATGAGGCACATGATGTTTTGATTCTACATTATGGATGCCTTTTTTTTTTTTTTTAAAGATTTTATTTATTTATTTGAGAGAGAGAGAATGAGAGAGAGCACATGAGAGGGGGGAGGGTCAGAGGGAGAAGCAGACTCCCTGCCGAGCAGGGAGCCCGATGCGGGACTCGATCCAGGGACTCCAGGATCATGACCTGAGCCGAAGGCAGTCGCTTAACCAACTGAGCCACCCAGGCGCCCTTATGGATGCCTTTTAAATTCAGAAAGTTAGAGGTTTGTCTCATGGAATTAGTCTCTGGAAATCTACACTTTCTGGCCAAGATTTCCCCCTTTAACTTATCTTTATTGTGTTGGAGGACTGAATTGTTGGAAACCAGTCTTCACCTAAAAGAAGTTTTTTCCACTCAAAAGTAACTTCTCTTCGGCTTTTCTGGTACCTCAGGCCACATTTTGCTAACAGATGCACAAAATAAATCGAGGTACAGCACAGATGCTCCCAGACCCCCTCAGAGCTCCAGCGGCTGGACACGGAGGTGCTGGGTGTGGTCCCCAGGCGAAAGAGCTGGGGCCTCTCTTGCTGCCTCCACAACCACTAGCTGCAAACACAAATGCCAAATGCCATTTTTGCTTTTTGCCTTTTTTCATGAAAGTGAAAATCCTCTTCAGATTTCTTTTAGTTAGCAAAAACGTACTAACGTAGGTCTTTTGTAAAAGTGAAGTGGGCAGACTTTTGAAAATCCAGGGGTTACCTGTGTACCACGTTTTCTTTCTTTTTTTTTTTTAATAGGAAAACTGGGTATTTATTTGGCCAAACAGTATCCTTTTAGCAAACGTTTGTTGAAACGCCTGGATATAAGTTGGCAGTAGGCTAGGAGAACAAACACGAAAAAGGCACGATATTTCCTCTCAAGAACCTAGGGTGCAAAATGCAGGCTATGGCTTCGGGCACAAAAGAGAACATAAACGGGTATTTCAGAGCCTGGAAGACAGACTTCCTCCTTTGAGAAGAACAAGATCTGGGTGGCCTAGAGTAGTTTTCATACTGAGAAGTGGGGAGAAAGGATTCGGTACCATATTGTCTGTATCCGTTCATCTGTTGAGGGGCATGTAGGTTGTTTGCCCCTCTTGCTGTTGTGAAGAATGCAGTGAACATGGGAGTGCACACATCCCTTGAGAATCTGGTTTTAATTCTTTTGGATAAATACCTAGAAGTGAGATTGTTTTTGACTATGTAGTAGTTCTATCCTCACTGAAAAGCTTTCAATTTTGATAGGGTCTAGTTTATCTATTTTGTTGTTCCATGTTGTTGCTCATGCTTTGGTGTCATATCTGAGACTGTTGTTAAATCCATGATCATGAAGATTTACTCCTGTGTTTTCTTCTAAGAGTTTCCTGGTTTTAGGTCCTTGATCCATTTTCAGTTAATTTTTGTGTATGGTAGGAGATAGGGAACCAACTTTACTCTTGCAGGTAGAAATCCAGTTTCCCTAGCACTATTTGTTTACAAGAGTGCTCTTTCCTCATTGAATGGCCTCGGCACCCCTGCTGAAAATCAGTTGACCATAGCTGTATGAGTTTATTTCTGGGCTCTCAATTCTGTTCCTTTAGTCTATAGATCTTCCTTATGCCCTTACCACACTGTTTTGATGACTGTAGCTTTGGATTAAGTTTTGAAGTTGGGAGGTAGGATTCCTCCAATTTTGTTCTTTTTCAAGATTGTTTTGGTTATTAATAATGGGGACCTTTTGTAATTCCATATGAATTTGGGGATCAGCTTTTCCATTTCTGCAGCTCACTATTCTTTATTGCTGAGTATTGCTGGCTAATTTACCAGTGGAGTATATTCTGTTGATGGAGAATGAATAAGCACATGTAATCTCGTCTTAAATCTGTATTTTTTTTTAATCACATTAACTTGGAACTTAGGGTTCTGTTTTTATCAAACTCTACCTTGAATGAATTTATTCTTCCAAAGCATTTGTTGCTAAGGAACCAGTGGCCTTTGGGACCACCTGTTTTACATTCCAGCTTTAGAAAATACTGTGCTTTCAAGGCATAATCTTCTTTATTCATGGTTTATACATGTTTTTATCAAGAAAAAAAAATCACACTTTGAAACAGTTTTGCAAATAACTTACCCTCTGTCTTCGCAGGTGCCCTTTTTATCTCCTTTGGAAGGTCATATTTATTTAAAAATAAAATGTCAGGTGAATTCAAGTGTTGAAGAAAGAGGTTTTCTAGTAAGTAACATTGCTTAATCTATATTTTCCTTTTTCCGTATTGTGAAGTATAGACTTGGTTTCACATAGGAATGACCACCTATGTGATTATGTGATACATTGGTTCAGTCAAGATTTGTTGCATGTCCACTCTATGCCAGTCACGGTTCTGGTACTGGAATCCAACAGGCTACACAAAATAATCCTTCCCCTCAGAAACTTTTAGTATGGTAGGGAGAAACACAAGTAGACTGGCAAGTGCAATGCTGTGCTGTAATAGGTGGGAGCGTAGAGGGCCTGGGGGTAACTGGTGGGACATCAGGTCTGGAAAATGGGTAAGGGGCCTTAAAGAAAGCCACTGGAAGAAGTAGCTTGTAAACTGCTGAGTAAGTTAGCCAGGGAGAGAGAGGGGGGAGAAGTGTTCCAGATAAAGGGACTCTCTGCACCCTCCCTCTCACCCCCACCAAAGATAAGGAGGCCACAGACAGTGAGGGGCAGGCAGTTCAGCCGGCGCTAGGGTGCGGGTGTATGTGGGGAGGAGGAAGAGCGAGGAGGAGAGTGTTGCGGAGGACAGTGTGGTTAGGGGAGACGGGCCTGAGGGTTAAAGGGCCATCGAAAGAACTTGGACCGTATCTTGAAGCCAGCGACGTACGCTTGTAGGATTTTAAGCAGAGGAATAACATCATATTTGGGGTTTAGAAAAGTTATTCTCCCTGCCATGTGGAAAGGAGGTTGGAGACTGGCGGCCCTGAAGAAGACCAGTGAGGAGACGGTCACTCCACGAGGGGTGGCGGGGACTGTCCTGGGGAGATGAAGCAGGCGCAGTGATTTGACTGTGCAGCAGAGGGGCTGGAAAAGCAGAGGTGAGGCTGTCCCCTAGATCCCTGCCTGTACCACTTGTGGGGTGGCAGTGATGCCTACAAGAGAAGGGATCTTGGGGGAGGAACAAGGGTGTGTGTTTGGGGAGAAAGTGTTTTGCCCCCCAAGTTTTCTTGTGGAAAGTTGCAGATATACAGCATTGAACACCCGTATACCCACAATCTAGATGGTGGGTTTAACGTGTTTTACTATCCTTGCTTTATCATGTACCTACTACCTAGCCATCCTGCTAGCCACCCCTCTGACCATTGCCGAAAATACCATATTTTGGGGGAAGAATTTTAAAGTATACTGTAGACATTAGTGTGTTCCTCCAAATCTTAAGTGTATATCCCTGAGTTTTAACACAAGCATACATCTGTATAACCCAAATTTCTATTAAGGTCTAAAACATTGCCCCAGAAAGTTCCTTCATGCCAGTTCCTTCATCCCCCAAGGTGGGAAGTTTGGGTAAGTTAAGTTTTAAATGATCTGAATTTTAGATGACTCCAAAGATCTGAGTTTGAAGCTCAAGACAGACATTTTGGTTGAGATGAAGATTTGGAAATCTGCATCATAGAGATTGTAATTAAAGTTCAGGGAGAGCTGAGCAAAGCAGAACCAGGAGGAACACTAATATTTAAACCACAGACCTCGAAAGTGAAGCTCTCAGAGGAGCCTACAGGGAGGGCAGTGTGTCATGGTTGTCAAGAAAGAGAGAATCTGAAAGAGGGAGTGGTCAAGTTAGATCAGGACCTATTATCAGAGACCGTGGGACTCATTTACAAGGCAGAGAACAAAGCTGGATTGCAGATGGTTATGGACAGGTTGGGAGGTGAGGAATGAGAATGCCAGCAGCGCTTTGAAACTAAGTTTGGCTGCAAAGGAGGAAGAGAGAGAGCGTGGTACTTGCAGAGCTATGTAGGGTGAAAGAAGGATTTGGTTAACATTTTAATAAGATCAGAGAGATTTGAGAATCTTTAAATTCAACTGGGTGGCTTCTAATAGGGCAGAGAGATTGAAGATGCACTGGGGAACTTGCACTAGGATTAAGGAGTAATATGCAGAACGAGGTCATGAGAGGGAGAAGAAATAAGATCCAAGCCACCGTTCATGGGATTGATCTTATTCAGAAGTACGGTTGACCCTTGAACAACACTTATGTGGGTCCATTTATATATGGATTTGTTTCAATAAATACATACAGTACTGTGAATGTATTTTCTCTTCCTTATGATTTTCTTAACGTTTTCTTTTCTCTGACTCACTTTATTGTAAGAATACAGTCTATAATACGTATAACATGCAAAATATGTGTTAATTGACTGCTTCTGTTATCGATATGGCTTCTGGTCAACAGTATGCTATTAATAGTTCACTTCTGGTGGGGGTCGGGGGGAGTCAAAAGTTATATGTGGATTTTCGGCACCCCTAACTTCTGGGCTGTTTCAAGGGTCCACTATATACTTTTTCCATTATCAGAGGAGAAAAGTATGTGTGTAGAATACATAGAAGATTGTGGGTATGGTGCACAAAGTAGAGAAAATCTAATCTGGTTTTCTTTGTGAAGCGAGAATTTGAATGATACAGAGGATGTCAGTTTGCAGTTGCCATCAGAGGGGGCAGAAAGAAGAGTTCCGTGGCCAACGTGACTATAAACCAGACTGCCTTAAGTTTTTTTCACATGTCCATCCAGTAGATGGCACTAGATGTTCTTGAAAAAGTGTTTTTATAAATTTCTGATGTGAAGGCAGTGTTTACCTATTGACTTTTTCTTTTAATGTAAATATTTTCATATTTTACTATAGATACCTTCAGCAACTAACAGACTCTGTTATGGCCGCTAGCTCATTTGCATATGATGTCTGACTGACTGACTTTTTGAGCTGGGCTCTTACCTAGGTTAATGTCAGTTAGATCTCTTCAGGTTTGCTGTCTTGGATCCTATAGCCCATCACATCCACACTTACATAAATGTGCTAAGAAACTGCTCAGAACTCCCCCAAATAAATTCTACCCCCTGCCAAACCGTACCTTTTAATTACTTCTGCCCTCTCTAAAATAGAGATAGTAATTGAAACTAAAGTTGCTTGGTTCCGTTTTCCTTCCTGATATGCCAGGAACAGCTGGAAGGAAGGTGACTACCAACCAAAGAAACTTGCTAAATGATTCCAAAATGGTGCTAGTCTAACTCTGCCTTGACGGATGAACAGCAAGGGAGGGAAGTTCAGGATTAGCTAGAAGGTTCCAGTTCTGCTTTGTGATTATGTGTTGTCATTTAGTTTCCTTGGCCTGAACTTTCCTCAGCTATAAAAATGAAAACGCTGTCCTCTTTTTATTCTCTGATTGTAGTCGGGTGTAATAATTATAATAATGTGTTATTCTCACCCATCAAATTTTTCCTTGTCTATTAGCTTTATGATGTAAAGGGTGAGCATAAACATAAGAGGGAGCTGGTGAGTCATTTATACTAATTTTGTGCTTGAGATCAAAATAGCAACATTCCTGTCTTTTTTCCCTGAATGGTTGTGAGCCAGTATTGCCTAGAAAAAACATGCCTTGGGGAGGAAAGAGGATAAACTGGGGAGGAAGAAATAAAGGTGGCGTAAGAAGATATATGGTTAGAGTAAGCTAATTAATTTGGGTTAATTAACTAAGCTAATAAATTTCAGACTTCTTTCCCTCATAGAAATATATCTTCACATGAAGTAACTTTCCTCCATGGCTAGAGCTTGTACTCTTCTAACTCAAGCCTACTTTGGGTAAATTCACACAAATTAGTGAGTCAAGAAGAGTGTATGTCCGCTATCCTAGGGTTGGTGTAAAGCTTAGTTGATCCATGTGAAGGTGGAAAAGCTGTAATGCATTCTGAAATCAGACACGAAGATGCTTTCAGATTAGCTATATTAGCTGGGTCAGCAACGTGTGGCTTGCTACTTTTTTTAAATAAAGTTTTATTGGAACATGGGCTCATTTGTTTACACACCATCTATGACCTATGACTGCTTTTGCATTATGCTAGCAGAATTGCATAGTTGTGACAGACCCGGTTGCCCACAGTCTAACATCTTTACTCTCTGGTACTTCACAGGAAAAGTTTGCCAACCTCTGATCTCTAGCATTGTTACATTTTTACTTGCTTTGTTCTTTAAAATAGTATTTCCTAAAGGACGTCTTTTCCCTTTTTAAATCCAAAGTGAAGACTTTTATGTGATTAAGACTCAGTAGGACTACAAGTAAAAAATAGTGAGGTGTGGCGGGGGGCAGCTCCGACTTACACTTTAAGTAGAAGTACTCCATGGAAAAAAGCCCCATTTGTTAGCTGCCTTTCCCAGAGTCCTGACCTTAACCGACATGACTGTGTTACCCCTCTTTAGAACGTAGCTTGTGTGTCTAAGGCATGTGCTGACCAGCTGCCTGATTGCAGGGAGTTGCTCCCCAGTGTGCTTGATGGCTCAGCAGGGGGCGGGGAGCTCGGATGTTTATCACAGTAATCAGTCAAGGCATAGAATCATCGCTGACTCTTTTCCAATCCCATTTTGTTCTGAATAAAAGTTAAATGCTGGTCTTTTACATAAAATAAGTCTAACTTAATAAGCTATCATTGGTTTTGTCAACATATAAGGTATGATATTCCCATTATTCTACCCCACAACACTTAAAGCACTTTTCTCTTGTTTAAGGAGCATTTGGTTTGGGACATGATGCTTTAAAAAGGTGTGCTTTAAAAAGGTCTAAACTAGATAGAGATATTTTTTGGGGTTAATATCTGGAAGTTCTTAAATGCTATATGCTTATAGATGATGTTGAAAATCTGGGTCAATTTCTGGATATTAGCAATTGGTGAGTTTCATTACTAGGGTAAGAGGTGGTGAAAATCATGTAAGTTGATTTTGAGCTATGAAGTATATCAACATATTGAAGTTTAACATACAGATTTATCATTTAATCAATCCTCAAGTTTCTAAAGTTAACATTTCATTGACTTTTCAGACCATATTTGAAGATGTTAGTGGTTTTGGTGCCTGGCATCGAAGATGGTGTGTTCTTTCTGGAAATTGTATCTCTTATTGGACTTACCCAGATGATGAGAAACGAAAGGTAATATTAATAGCCCTGGTCAGTGGTGAAAGCCCTGACTTCCATGTAGTGTTTCATGCAGAGGTTCCCACTGGTCTCCACACCCACCCAGATGCCCCTTTGAGTATGTTTACTAAGCCATTATAAATGTTCTTGTTGCAAAACCTGTGTATGTGTGTGTGTGTGTGTAAGTAAAACTTTCATGTCTTTTCCATTCCCTGTGATTTGACCACTCTTAAAATACCATAAGGCATATATTTGTCTTTATTTTCTCCTAGAATGTTTCATACTATTTTTTAATAACATTTTTAGCCAGAAATATGTTGAATTCACTTTTGTTTTTATTAATAGTTGACTTACCTAAATCTGGGATAAAACAGTAATGGAAAACCATCACAGGAATATAGTGATTTTGATTTTGTTTCTAAAATTTGATAATAGGATTTTATGTGATAAATTGTATCTCATTTTCAAAGAATTTAATATTATTGCTCAAGTATGATTATTTATTATCCCCAAACTGGGAAATAGAAATACACAGAATTACAAAATGATGTGTGTTTCTAATTGTTGAAGCGGGTTGATGGGTACATGGAAGTTCATTCCACTGCTCTTTTAATTCTGCATCTCTTTGAAGTATTCCATAACAAAGAGTTTATTTTTTAAGTTGGCTAAAAGCTCCAGTTGACACTTGTGGTTTCTGTTTTCCTAGCAAGAAACAATAACAGATAAATATGTTCCTCTAAACCTTTTATAATTAAATTTTAACTTTTAAATTAATGGCTTTTTAAGTTTGTACCAACTCAAATACTGCTTAATGCTTATTGATGTAAATGGTCTTGTTTATTTTTTATTAGTTTGTTTTTAATTTGTTTTTAAAGAATCCCATAGGAAGGATAAATCTGGCCAATTGTACAAGTCATCAAATAGAACCGGCCAACAGAGAATTTTGTGCAAGACGCAACACGTTTGAACTAATTACCGTCCGTCCACAAAGAGAAGATGACCGAGAGACTCTCGTCAGCCAGTGCAGGGACACGCTCTGTGTCACCAGGTACGTAGGCTACAAACATAAGTACTTCCATCCAGTAAGGGATTGATTGCCCACTGTGTTCCCGCCACTTTAAGAAACATCAGAGATGGTCCTTGTCTTTGAAGAGAGTACAATCTTAATGAGGAAAGAAAACCCATACAATCACTAAGGGAACAACCTAGTAACTAAATTAATACAGTTAAAAAAAAAAGTCTAACGTTCAAGCTATATCTTAGCTAATCCTGTTTTCCAGTATACTCACAGTGGAGCCATTTTTAAGGCAGTTAGCTAATGTACTTTGGGTTAAGTCTGAAGGTTTTGTGTATAATTGAGAAGGCAAGTATTATTGAAAGAGACTTTACATGTCCCTTCCTTTCCAACCCAAAAATGCCCTCAATGAAATCAGGTGACTTACAAAAAACAGTCTCAGGCTACTCTGCAAATTTTTGGTTGGAGATTAAGAGAATGAACTGTTGGGAGTGAGGGCCAGCAAAGTTAAGTAACTTGCCATGGTTACCTTTGGTAATAAGACACTGAGTCAGGATGTAAACCTCGGTTTTCACAGAGTGACAATAGAGATTGATGAGTAAACACATTTAGCACAGTCTCGAGCTCATAGAATGAGCTCAACAAATGGTCACTATTATTGTTGTTCGTGTTGTGTTCTCTCCTTTGACTAATAGATGATCAGATCACTGCTTATCCCATTTTTAGTACCAATGGGGAGAAATTACAAAGACACAGAATGAGTACACTATAAAAACCTTCTGACGACTGCTGTTCTCTAGAAGAATGATCTGGCTTGTGAGTTAGGGAATTCTCTTCCTCACCCTCACCTGCCCTATCAACTAGTTATTCAACTTGTGGCTCAATATGGGTGCAGAGAAGTGATTCCTGATATGAATGGAGAGGTTAGGATAGACAAAAATCTTAGGATCTTCAGATCACTTATGTAGATATCATGTTCTACTAACAGTACTAACCCAAAAATAATGGGAGACCGAGCCAAATAGTTACTGGTAGAGCCAGGGGAAGGTCCACAAGCTGGTGCTTCCAGCTCTCAGGGAGCCCGGGTCTGAGGAATTTGGGAAGCTCCCAGATTAAAGACCAGGTGTGCTAACTCTTGCTAGGAAGTGGTCCACACTCAGTGGGTGTCCTGCACCACCAGATTACCCAGGACAGACCACCTGTACAAGACAGTTACCATTTTAGCGTGGAAACTCCATCATTAACCAAACGTGATCACTGTGAATTTTGATTCAGTTAACCAACCTATGGGGATTATTTTCCTTTATTGCAATTGAAGAAGCACCTCACTATAGGGCTTTTGATTAGCATCTGTTAAAAATTGGTAATGAGTAACTCGTTTTACTGGTTTGTTTAGCCGCGCCCCCACCCCCACCCCCCAGCGTGAGAACAGGGCAGTATGGAATGGGGGAAAGGATCCTGACTTTTTGTTTGTTTGTTCCTGTAGGAACTGGCTGTCTGCAGATACCAAGGAAGAGCGGGATCTCTGGATGCAAAAACTCAATCAAATTCTTGTTGATATTCGCCTCTGGCAACCTGACGCTTGCTACAAACCTATTGGGAAGCCTTAAACTGTTGGAAGTTGCCAGGCCGTCTAGAGGTTTTTTGAGCTGTGTCATAAATGTATCTTAAGAGCATCAGATTTGCTGATTGCATTTTATGCTTTAAATACAAAAGGGTATGTGCCAATATTCACTACATATTATGCAGTATTTATATCTTTTGTATGTAAAATTTCAACTTTCTCTTCTGTCATTCATAAATGATTGGAGGAAAATTCATTATAGTCAGTTTTGCTAAATCTTAATTTAAAAGCCTCATTTTCCTAGAAATCTAATTATTCATTTATTCATGACAAAGTATTTTTTTAAATGTAAGAATTTTGAGTTGTCTTCTTGGAGCTGTGGGTCTTGAAGTAGAAAGGTTTTCCAGGGGTTGGAGACAGAAACCTCCGACTTGGTCATCCTTTCTCTATCCTCACTACTTCTTTCTAAAGTTTGTGATCGTTTATTGATCACGATATATCTTGTTAGTAGAATACTAAGAAAACTTCCAAGGGACTTTAGAAACATTTTTAGTAATGGAGGTAAGAACTTTTTAAATAGCCAGTGTACATTAGTTTAAAGCTTGAGGCTGCCTTCAAACAAGAGATGTGGACATGGGATATTATGTGAGATTTGGGGATTAGTTTTCTTTAGAAGACTTAATCACATGGTTTACATTTACCCAGTTTCTATAGATGCTGTGTGGTGCACATTTTCATAGAGTACAGTCTTATAAAAAATAATTATTTTTACTATATAGCTAAGATTCCACTTGGCATATCAGTTCTTTCAGCTCCCATAACAAGAATAAATGTAAATTGAAGAGTCTTTGTATAAAAGTAAACTCCACCAAGCTGCTATGGACTAATACTTTGCTTGCCAAAGTTGTCTTTTTTTTTTTTTTTCCTTGTCCGTGTATGAGTGTCTAGAAGCACATTATGAACTCTTTTGAAAAACTTAAGTCATGCATTACCTTTGAAAGCCCAATTCTTTTTTTTTATTATAAAGTATTATAAAGCATGGTCACAACTTTTAAATCCACTTTGAATTTCTTCTCTGAATTGTTAAAAAAGTTATTGACGATCTCATTTATAAACACTAAATTCTGATTCTGTCAGAATCTAAATTCTGTCACCTCGTCATTTAATTTTGTATTCATTCAAATGTGTTTTTTATGTGTATTATAAAAATATATTTTATGATCTCTTACCCAAATAAATGCTTGCAAAGGACTTAAGGAATCCGTTATTTACAAAATACTATGTAAATGCGTGGTGTGTGGTTGCTGTATCTGGGCTATGGGGCTTCTTGAGGGGATTGTACGGATAGGATCGCATTCATCTTTTTATCTCCAGCCCAGTGCTCAGCTTATGTGTCCTTAGGGTCTTTGTTGAAGGAGTAGGTGGCTGAAGGATCCATTTCCGGGGCATTTCAACAGAATATGGTACTTAGATGTGCCTTCGTGGAGATAGTTAGCAGAGAGTGCTTAGCAGAAACTGGGTGGGTAAGTGACACTGCCCTCCAAAACTGGGAGTGGGGTTGATGGGATTGATGAGAGGGTCCCTTTTATTTATTTATAGACTTGTACTTATTTGGGGTTGTCTGTCTGTATATTCGTAATGCCAGTACAGTTAACGTACAATGTTATATTAGTTTCTGTGTAATACCCCGAGCCAGCATTTCTCTGCATTACTCAGTGTTCATCAGGATAAGCGTCCTCTTGATCCCCTTCACCTATGTCTCCCATCTCCCCCGTGACCAACATGTACTGTCTTGGAAGAGGAATTACCTAGCTTGGCACAAAATTCAAAAGGCACAAAGAAGTTCAAGTGAAAAGTATGCCTTCACCCCTTGTCACAACCACGTTTAAGTTCTTGTGTGTCCTCCTAGCCCGATTCTAAGCATAACACATAGGCATATTTATATTCTTGTGTGGTGCACATTTTCATAGAGTACAGGCTTTTAAAAAATAATAATTATTTTTACTATATAGCTAAGATTCCAGAAACCTCCGACTTGGTCAACTTTTACATACTGTTTGTTGTAAGTTAAGACAAAAAAACGCAACAGGGTGTCCCTTTTCAGTCATTCCTTCCTAGGGTGTAGGGAGGGCATGTGAAGTCTAGTTTTAGAAGAAATTTGATTTAAGATGGCTGTGGAACATCAAGTTCGAGATACCTGGTAAGAGTGAAAAACTACTGCTATGTCATTGGCCCACAAGGGGTTGATGGAACCATTAGAGTAGGCAAGATGATCCGGAGAGTGTGGTCCCGAAAGAGAAGCAAGAACAAAAGGAATGTGTTCTTGAGGGGGAAGGAGAAAAAGGAGTGGCCCATGAAAGAAATACAAGAGTGATGTCTTGAATTTCTTCTCTGAATTATTAAAGTTATTGACAATCTCATTTATAAACACTAAATTCCATCACCTCCTGTCATTTAATTTTGCGAGAGACACCGATTCAGAGTGAGACCAAAGAATAATCTTAAAATCTGGCCACAAGATCATAGGGCAGGGTAAAGAAAATGGGAACTGAAATTTGGAACAGTCACTTTGATAATATAATTCAGATAAAAAAATTCAAGTTACGACAAAATCCACGGAGGAAAAGAATGACAGATTTCATCAGATAAAAAAAATTTCCTGCCTGATAAATGTCTATGAATAAAGTTTAAACACAAGGCATCAGACTAGGAGAAAATATTTATGACATTTAATAATCAAAAAGGTTAATGGTAATATTTAATATAAAGAGCTCCAATGCCTAGCTATCACTGTTTGAGCATTTATTATGTGCCAGGTGATATTCTTGGAGTTTTGCATGGATCAGCTTGTATAATCTTCACCTGACCTTAGGTAATAGGCATCTAATGAGGACACGAAAGCTTAGATAACTTAGGTAATGAATAAACAGAAAAATATAATTTTAAACGGGTTTAACTGCCTCATTGGCCCCCAGATTGGGAAAACTATCTGTAGTCAGTATTGCTGAGAAACAAACTCAGACTCTTGGTGAGGACAGGAAGTGTTAGAGCCTTCGTGGATGGTCACTTGGCCACCTCCAGTGATCTCTGCTCACGCACGCAGGGTCTGACTCCCACGCATCAGAGATCTCATCCATGCAAAGCTTTGCTTGTAATTTCACAGACAGAAGCCGTCACGGCCCCGGTGAAAGAGGGAGTCTGCATCACCCTGTGTGCCTCCCAGGTCTTTCATCCCAACATTGGATGCTGTCTTTGGCCCAGGGGAATAGGTAGGGTGTCACGTGAGGTCTGTGGACAGCTCACACGGAGGGAGGCTGTCGGTGAGGAAGTGCTGCCATTTTATACCCTATATGGTCATATACCATGTGTGCCTTTTATCAGGAGTTGTGCCTCACAGATCCACAAATTCTCAGTTTATTTACCACAAACTATCCTTAACCAGCCACATCCTTCTAAGAGCATTCCACAGATAAGAGACAAATGGATAAAGAAGATGTGGTCCATATGTACAATGGAATATTACTCAGCCATCAGAAAGGATGAATACCCAACTTTTACATCAACATGGATGGGCCTGGAGGAGATTATGCTAAGGGAAATAAGTCAAGCAGAGAAAGTCAATTATATGGTTTCACTTACATGTGGAACATAAGGAATAGCATGGAGGACATTAGGAGAAGGAAGGGAAAAATGAAGGCGGGGGGAATAGGAGGGGGAGATGAACCATGAGAGACTATGGACTCTGAGAAACAAGCTGAGCGTTCTAGAGGGGAGGGGGGAGGGGGGATTGGTTAGCCCGGTGATGGGTATTAAGGAGGGCACGTACTGCATGGAGCACTGGGTGTTATACGAAAACAATGAACTGTAGAACACTACATCAAAAACTAATGATGTAATGTATGGTGATTAACATAATAAAATAAAATTAAAAAATAAAAAGACAGATTCATGGGGAAAAGAAAAAAAAAGAGATCTAGCAAATATCATTAGTCTGTTAACCAGGAGGTCCCACTTTCACCAGGTTTACAAGCATTTAGATGTGTCCCTGACTTCTTTTCCTGGAACCAAGAGCCAGCTGCTTTAACTCCTTCCTTCTACTCCCCTCAGATGAACTTGCAGGTGAGGAAAGAGACACATAAAAGGATGACCATTACGATAGTGTTTTAAAGGGAAAAAACTGAAATAACCCGAAAATCCAACAGGGACGAAAATGAGAAAGAATCGACAAGCCCACTAACAGGAAATTATGGTGATAATTTCTACAAAACACCATGCAGTGTTCAAGAAAAGCAATATATATGTATACATATTTGGACCAATTTCAATTTTCCAGAACAACTTCTGGGGAAAAGCGATCTGCCATGCAACATGACATAATATAACATATATGCGTGTAAATACTTAGATGAAAGTGTGGAAGGAACCACGCCAAATTTTATATGGGAAAGGACAGTGGGCAGAGGCTGGGAGCAGTGTGGGGTAGAGGAATGCTTTGACTTTTGACTCTTTCTAGAACATTTGATATGTTTAGGATGAGAATATTTTCATATTGCTCATGCACATGGACCTATGAACACTTCAAAAATTAAAATCAGAACATGGAGTGAGCAGAAGGCTGAGTAGAGACGACAGGCTACAGGGTTGGGAAGGGGACAGCACCAATGTGACAACAGTATGGTGGGGCATTGTGGAGGGACAGGTGGTTTGGATGAGGAACTGAGTATGTTAGTCCCCTGAGGGGAAGAGCAGAGGGAAGGGAGGATCTGAGGATAGTGGTAAATAGGAGGGGAAGAGATGAGGGAGGATGCGTTTGTGGAGCACGACGAAGGGCGAGAGTCCAGACCCCCTCCCAGGAGTCAGCATTTGTGAAGGGAATGTGAGTCAGTATTGAAGAAATGGGGCATCCAAACTGGGCGGTCATGCAGGCCTAGGTGCCAAGGAGTGATGCGCAGGCCTTCCTCCTTGTTCAGGATGTGTGCTGCCGGGTGGCAACCCGAGCAACAATTGCACGGGGAGGGGGGGTCCCAATAGGGAGCCAGAGCATGGCCAACCACAGCAGATGCGGAGAGCCTGCCAAGGCGTCTGGGGCAGTAATCTCTAGGAGGGTTCATACCAAAGGGTCTACCCCGAAGAAACTATATATGCCCCTCCCATGTTCAAGTTGATACCTAACATTTTTCATTAGAACTTTAAAAAGTGGCAGAGGATGTAATTTCTATCATATTGGAAATATTAGCATTTCAGATTAAAATTTTTACATTTTTTAAAAGATTATTTAAGACAGAGAGTCGAGTGGAGGGAGGGGCAGAAGGAGAAGCAGACTCCCCACTGAGCAGGGAGCCCGACATGGGGCTCGACACAGGGCTCGACCCCAGGACCCTGGGATCATGACCTGAGCCCAAAGCAGATGCTTAACCAACTGAGCCACCCAGGCACCCCTTAACATTATTTTTAAAATCAAATCCAACAGAATCTAAATGCAAGGGCAGTTTTATCCCCTCCTTCACTGTCAATTTAAACATTCACGAATAGGATATTTTTGGAAATTTTATAGCATTCTTTTTACTTCGGTTCTCTCGCATAGTTTTATACTAATGTAATTTATATTTTGTGCTTGAGCAAAATGTGTATATAAAATGAAATGGAATTTTTTAAAATGTTCTGTGACCATAAGATTTTAAATGTTAAAAGATTATTTTGAACTGAATTATCATTACATTTATGATTAGTTCACAAATGATCAAAACTACAGAAGACATTTGAAAAATTTTAAGCATAACGAGTAAAACTTTATAGGAAATATGTTTCTTAATGAAACAGATAGACTTTTTATCAACTGGCTTATGTATCTATGGATAAATATCATTTATTTTTAGAATGAGATGTGGTTCAGCATCGATCCTATTTCTTTTTTTTCATTTTTACAGAAAACCTAACTAGATGAAAATGAAAGCTTTGCTATTTCAAAATCACTCAATTCTCTGGACTTTCAAGTGATCTACCAAGAATTATTTTTAATGATAAACTCAATTATTTTTAGCTGATACAGTAGGCAAGATATGTACTATGCTACCATAAAAAATGGAAAATAACAACAAAACCACAGTGGATCAAACAGGATAGAAGTTTCTCTTTCATATGAGAGTCTAGTAAAGGGGTCAATCTGGGCAGAGAGGTGAACTTGCAGGGCGTCCAGGGACCAAGGACCTTACCCCTAGGATAGCCTAGGATGTGGCCTTGCCCTCATAGTC